TGAGAGGCGCATTGTTAAATCTATTGTGATATTTTGCCAAGTTGTCTTCTATCTTAGAAAGTTAGCCTCTAATTTTCACTATAATACCTCAAAATATTCATGTCCATGTCCATATACATTTTCCGAACAGGCCAAATAGATCGGCGAAACCATTGTGACGTCAATTTCCAAAAATGACGTATAAATTGTTTTAATGTTCAGCTTGACATGATTATGGACACAGGCACTGGGGTATAAACTGAATGTAAAATAATATTTATAAATACGACAAGTGTAAATACTGCATTTTTTTCTGAACTACTACTTTCTTTAACCACCTAACGTTAAGATTATAGTCTAACTCGGACCACTGTCGCTTACTTAGGGGGTGCGGACGTAAGATGCTATAGATAGACTAATATAGGCCCAATGTATGTGAATTCGAACATGTAAAGAATTAATACATACCAGGCTTCGGGGCCACCAACATATAAAAAACTCAGCTCAAATCTCAACCTCAAATCTTAGATTTCTGCCTCACCTGAGATTTTCCTAAAACACCGTGCCACCAACATTTCTGAGATTCGTCTCACGTAAGCAGAGATTTGAGAAAAATCTTAGACTTATTCTCGTTGTTATATGCGACCTTTTATTCTGATAATGCACAAATTTGTTGAATTAATGATTGAATTTACCTTTTAGTCAGTTGTTAATGCAATATTTTGGTGTTTAATCGCGAAAATACACCCCCCCCCCCACTTCCTACGTCTTTTATTTGCTGTTTCGAGTCACTCAACGGAAAGGATTCCATTACGATCTTTGCGACAATAAATATTCACCGAGTCCCCGTAAAATAATCCGTACAGAAGAATAACACAAAACATATCCAAACTTTATAGTCTTGGTTCGTCTGTCTACATAAACACACAAATATATACACCGAGGCGTCACTTCCGCCATTGTGACGTTACGTGTCGAAAGATTACAAAGAGTAGATAGGCGGATCAAGACTATATATTTACAGGCCGATTACACAATTTTTTTTCTTTTATTTTGTTTTGTACAAAGTCAGAAATATCTATTACATTTTACTCTCCATAGCAAAAATGTTTTAAATATAGGGAGTTTTTGTCCCTATTTAGAATAATTTTTTAAAAAAATCATCGTTTCAAGCGATCAGAGAAAATAGATTTTACCGCTGCGAAATGATGATTTTAATACTGCAAACTCGGCATTAACAATGATAAAGAAAACACCGAGTAATTTTTTTTCTACCTGATTAAATCCTTATTTTCTCACATGATAATTTTCTTGAGTGTTCCGTAAAATTCGTGCATAAGTTGCGACAGAAAAAATGTCCAAGGCGAGTAACATAATTACAATTCAATTCAATATATACATGTATGCTTGGTTTTACTTGAACCCAATTTATCAAGAAAATTTCGATCCAAATTGTTTAATGTGATTATGTCAGTTATTTCAGGTATATGTATACACACCCCTTCCCCCGAAGAAACAAAAAAAAAAACAAACAAACAAACAAAACAAAACAAAACAAAACAAAACAAAACAAAAAAAAACAAAAAAAAAAAAAAAAAAAACAACCTGAAATTGAACTATACGGACATGTATGTAGGGAGGAGGCTAAATAACACATCGCATTTTCCACGATCCCGTGATAAAATGTCACAGGAAAAATATTCTTCTTTTCAGATATAATATATATAATAATAATTAATTTCAGATATAATAACAAAGAATATAGTGAGCAATATTCGTTGTTACACTGGTTACCTAAATCAATCTAACAATCACTTATCAAGTGACGATTAACTGATTATAATTCCTATGAAAAGTTTCACGGCGTAATCATGTACTATTTGAAACTTAGGACCATACTTGTCTAATCTCAAAATGTAACTGGTCGTATTAAAAAAAAGTCTGGTTTATTCTTTCAAATAATATAAACGGTCAGGGATTTTTGTGTGCGATGCATAGTGTGTATAAAGCAGATGCCCATACGCGGATCTAGAGGGGGGAGGTGGTCGCCCCCCCCCCCCCCCCCGGAATTTGCATGCAGAGTTATTGAAAGTATATACTGAATCAAATAAAAATTGATTTTGGACCCCCCCCCCCTTGAAAACGTGGACCCCACCACTACCACAACGAAATAGGTTTTTCACGTTTGTGAAACGGATTTTTTTTTTCTTTTCAAGATACTTTTGGGAAAGCAGTTTTGCTTGTCAAGAAATTTCTGGTTTGGATTTTTTTTCATGTATTCATGGATTAACCTGTGCACTGTCATAATATTTGCAAACATTTTACCATAAAATAATTCTGTGAGATTTTATTTGAGACTACTATGTACCAATCTCAAGATTTTCTGAGAAATCTCAGATTTTTTTCTCAGCTGAGTCGGAAAAAACGTTGGTGGCACACACGTTTCAGAGAAATCTCAGATTTGAGAAAAATCTCAGATTTAAGAAAAAACTCAAGAAATAAGTCCGAGTTTGAGAAAATATTTCATTGGTGGCACAGTTCGGTGAGAAAAACTCAAATTTTCTAAGAAATCTCAGATTTGAGAAAATCTCAGCGTTGGTGGCCCCGAAGCCAGATCTTCATAATATTGATGTTATGATTTTATGCTTGATATTAAAGGATTTTTTAGCGATGGTGGCGAGGTATATTATCAATATTATTTATATCTAGCAAATGACCGTCTACTGGGATGTGTATTGCATGCTGTAAAATGAACACATATTTTGAAAATAAACATGGTCCGCACAATATCACCATCGTAATTTTTTACATATAAATTGCTTTCATATCGATGTTTCATTTGTGAAAATTTCAAAGTGGTGATATGATGCGGACCTATCGAAAAATGCTTTTAAGTCCCTGATTTTTAACGATTTTTCCGGAAATACGCATTCCGTGCATGATTTGACCACGAATAAACAGTATACAGGGGACACATTCTCAAAGTTTGGGTTTATTTTTTTAACAAGCATATATACAAACTTTATTTTCAATGTAAAGTTTTGATTCAGCATAAACTTTAATTTTTAGAAATTCTCAGGGCCAAATATTATATCAAATGAACCTTGTCCTTTGTTATAACAGATTAAATTCGTTATAACGAATTCAAATAAACTGTTATAACGAATTAAATCCGTTATAACAAATTCAACAATTCGTTATATCGAATTCAAAAATAATTTTGATAGGTCCTAAATGGACTTCCGTACAATATAACAATTTGTCGAATCCGTTTTGACGAATTAAATTCGTTATAACAAGTGTTAGAATTCGTCATAACGAATTTAATTCGTAAATGTATAGTACGTAGTTTTTTTGTTTGTTTTTGTTTTGTTTTTGTTTTTGTTTTTTTGCGAATTATCCGAGTATCCAAAGCTATTTCTTTAAACAATTCTTCACAGAATTTCCTTCTTTTTGAACTCATACTTTTGACATGATTTACTTTTTAATTACGCCTTGGATCTATTAAAGGTAAATTATGTGCATCCACAAACATGTGAAATATCAACATACTGGGTAAATTTGCGTAAATAACCCCCCTCCCCCCAGTGGAGATCAATTTAATCACCCCACCCCTTTCGCCCCATGAGAGGACTACATAATTGAAGCTCGCTGACGGGATTTGCAGACGTGTCATACTAGTATTGCATGGAGCAATGGTTATGAAGTACGATTTTAAAGTGCTTATTGATTTTTGACGAATTCCCGTCACGTACATTTACGAATGTACAGGAGCGGGCACCTGGAAAAGTAAGCAAAAAATTAGAATTCTTTTTAAAATAAGACTTTTTTTTCAAGGTAGGTTAAAGGTAAGTTAAAGCTTGTATGACATTTGCTTGTAACTTTCCCAATGCTTTGCTACGGATGCCTTTACATCAAAAAATATTTTTGAATTGTCTTTGTTTAAACGAATTTAATTCAGCAGTGACATCACAGGCACTTGTTTCGTATCTGGGTGACCCCTTCTTTTTCTTTCCACAAGGTACGGAACTCAATTTCAGGCACTCCCGCTTCGAGCTCGTATTTTGTTAATATATCAATCATTAACGTACTTTGAAATGATATCGTTCGAGAGATTCGAGAGACTTTTTTCTTGTCAAATAAATCGTCTCAGAAGTCTCTGATCGAGCCTTTCTATAGTCACTTACATTTATTTTTAAATATTCTCACAATAGGATACAGCGGTCAGCAGACTAAATTAAATGTAATCGGTCACTTTAAAAAATGGATAATGATAAATATTATGAATTGTAGATAATATTGTAGATGAATTGTAGATAATGTAGATAAATTTAACAAAAGAATTGCCTAATTAGATGAAGCTTGTAGGGAATGAGGCACCTCTGGGAAGTGGGGGAGCCGTTTGGGGGAACATCTGTAACGGTTTCCACTATAAGTAACACTAGGGTTATATATATATATATATATATATATATATATATATATATATATATATATATATATATATATATATATATATATATATATATATATATAACTTTTAATACAGCTATTACTCAGAATAGCGCAGTTTTGGATCGAATGAATGACTTAATTACTATATCTTTGAAGTTTTGAAGTTTTTTGTACTCGTATTCTGTGAATTTGACACAATCATACAAAATCTAAATTGCACATGTTATTGTACAGTTTAAGTATGTTCAGTTGACCTATATATATAATTATAGACCCTCTCACTCCGACATCATTTTTTATTACTTTTTTTTTTTTGAACTTGTTTATACAACTGTTCGAGTATTTTAGTAATTAAGTATATTTTTAATCTTGAAAATAGTCTCAAACAAATTGAATGAAATTGTTGACGACTTAGTAGTCTTTTTTAAAGCTAATTTGTAATGCAGTAATTTAAAATGACCCATTTTGTGGCTCTGAAGCGGAACGATCAGTGGCTCGGTTTGCCACGGTCAACAACTCAACACCCAATGTCCTGACTGCGCCTCCATATGTGCAAATATGTTTACTGTACATGTATATCTTTAGTGCACCTACCAAGATTGTATTGTTCTTTGTCAGCATGTTGTGATAAAATATTTCAAAATGCGCAGTTCTGCTTAAAAAGGTGGTTGTAAACAGTTTTGAGTGTTTCCCTTGTCAAGGTAAGCAGAAAAACCGGTGACCCAGATATATTTATTCTGCATATCAAACGTGTCTGGCTAATTTATTTTTTTTCTATTAATTGCAGATTAAATATGGATTCGAGCAGGTTCATAAACCCACCTTTCGATGAAATGGATGCGGAGGCAAAATCAAAATATATTGGAGATGAAATAATGAACTATTTTCGGCCGTCACGAGAAAACGGCCCTGAAGGAGCTCTAGTTGTTATTGTTTTGACAATTCTAGCCAACATCTTTTTGTTTGTTGCTATTTTAGCAACGGGAAATATAAAAAAATCTTCAAGTTTGTTGGAATTTGCAAGAGGATTGTCAGAAGTACTACTGTTAGTATCTGTTGCCTTGCAAAGTACAAGAAATATATACAACACCACGGAGACGTCGAAGGCTGTGTCTGGATTCGTTGCCTTCTGGCTTTTCTCTATGGGGTCAGTTTGCTTTGGACTGATGAAAGCTTTTACTGGATTTTTGCATTTTACCGGGAAATCATCATTCTCAAATCTTATTTGGCTGATAATTTTGGTCGTTTTCGCCATCTCTACTTTTCTAGCATTTATTGTTCTATGCGTGATGTATGTCGCCAATGTTTTGGCTTTCGTTGTTTTGGCATGCATGTTTTACTATCTACCGTTCATGGGAATGTGGGTACTGGACGGAGTAAGAATCCTTCATCTTAGAAACCATTCCACCAAAAACGTGGTCGAAATGGAGACGTTAACAAGAGATAAACCCGGGACATCTGAGTTAAAGCAGTCGGAAGGAGAAGTGCAATTCTTGAAGCCGATGACAAACTTTGAAATGTTCATTGTCATATTGTATGGACTTTGTCATACAGTTGCGTTTGCCATGGTTACTATGATTATCACACGAATTGCCTGGGTGTTCTTTCGACCCGTTTCAACAGAAATTCGTTTGGAGTCCGTGCCTGGTATCCTCTGAATGAAGATTAACTCATTCTTAGAACACGACAGTCCTCTTTATGGCCGCAAAACATGCAGAACGTGGCTTACACTTGTGGCGTGTGTTGTGTTATACGGTATATGTGAACTCTGGAAAACGAAGTAGTGGTGCTTGGCTTCACTATACGAGAAAAATATTACAAAGTCTTAACAAGATCGATCATAATGGCGGTGGAATTCAACTATTACAAAGATTATATACAAATATACAAGTGTTGTACATGATATTTATAATACATGTATTTGTACACTGTGCACTAGGCCTATAGTCCTTTATTATTTTTAAAATAAATTTTCCAAGCAAAGACAGGACTATACTTGGCAACTAATTTTGTCGTTATGGTGGCTAAAATTTTTAATTGGGCTTAAAATTTCTCTGTAAGTAGCCAACTTGGCAACCATTTTTAAATGAACTATAAGTATTAACAGTGACGATTTTTTCCCTGAACTGGCAAAAAGAAATTTGAAACTTGGAGAAAATCATTTTTAGCAACTGACATGTTTGCTTTTTCAGTAGGCGAACGTAGTGTCACGTTACTTAAGAGCACACAGAGCTTCATAGCTGTTAGAAGCTAAAAAAAAGTCATAAAGTTAGATCATAGCTGCTCTGGGTAATTTTTTTTGCTTCAGAAAATCGATAATTGCAAAATGCAGTAAATTAGAGGGTGTTGTGGTCAATTATTTGCCATCAAATTCTCACTCATTAAAGATAGTTGCCTACACATTAGTTAAGGTTGTAATTAAGCGTAAAATGTTAATCATGTAAACAATCCTCGATATACTGTATTAAGATTTTTGAATAAGAATACAGATACTCCAATTTAATTTACTCTAAAAGAATATTCCATTTTGTTCAGTCGTCCGTTAGAGCATAAAAATGACAGCCTTTAGTAAATGCAAACATCACTCAGGCATGATCTTAACTTCAAAACAAACATTACTTGCAAATGTGGCAGATAAAGATTAGGTACTGGATTTTCTACAGCGGGCAAGATCATAATTAATTCCAGGGGATTAAGTAAACTGATGTATCATCCTTTATTCTAACTTTACAATAAGAAGTGAAAAAAAGAATTAGATTACATGATCAGTACGTACTGGTCCCTGCTGACAAGGCAGGTAACAACATTGTCTTTGTTTGTAAGGCTCGTTATATTAAATGTATTTTAGAGGAACTTGGATTTTATTCTACAAGTGGTAATCCAACTTATACTCATAGTTCCCTTTCTAAGGAAGAAATTCTTCAAAATCAAATGTCAGTTTTGAATATTTTTAATATTCCAAACAACCAAAATGAATTTGAATTACCATATCTATATTGGATTCCGAAACTTTATAAAAATCCTTACAAACAAAGATACGTAGCAGGTTCTTTAGATATTAACAGTAGTGAAGGAGAAACTTCAAGAGTACTATGCAACAATATATTCGAGAAGTGGTGTAAATCAGATGTGGATATTTAAAAATTCCAAGGAACTTTTGGAAAATTTGAAATCAAGATTTTACCAAAATCAACAGCTTAAATACTTTTGACTTTTTAACTTTATACACAACCATTTCCCACGATAAATGAAAGTCCAGTCTTTGTGATATCATTGACAGCTGCTTTTTCAATAAAATGGAACTCGTAAATTTACTTACCTTGTCATTGGTCATTTGCAAAATTATTTTGTTAAAAAACATTCTGATTGTACAAACAAGTACTCTGAAGTTGACATTAAAAAGATGCTTGAGCTTCTAATTGACAATATCTATGTGGTTTTTGGAGACCAGGTCTTCCAACAATCTATTGGAATTCCTAAGGGTACCAATTGCGCCCCGTTATTAGCAGACCTTTTTTGCATTCGTATGAAGCAGAATTTGTTCAAAATCTTATACGTGAAAAGAAGAAAACACTTGCTGTTGCCTTCAACTCGACATTTAGATATGTCAAAGACGTATTGTCAATTAACAATGGTTATTTCCATCCCTATGTCGATGTCGATACGATATATCCTGGTGAGCTTGAAATAAAAGATACCACAGAGTCTGACACATCTGTTTCATATTTGGATATTTTACTTGAAAAAGACGTTAATGGTAATCTAACAACTAAGCTTTATAATAAACATGATGACTTTAACTTTTCAATCGTCAACTTCCCTTATGTATGGAGCAATATACCTTCGTCACCTGCATGCGGGGTTTATATCGTAATTCGTAATTTCTATGGTCGATACAATGACCTTGTCAGCAAATACAATTTATCATTGAGTCAAGTGCTGACTGACGTTTTTCATACTAATTGTTAGGTCATTATTCACACACTGAATTGTCGACGGATTTTTCCGTTGTTTCCCGATCATGACAGGAAGCACAGGGCGGGTGTGATCGGTCGGCAGGGGATGCTCACTCCTCCATGGCACCTGATCCCACCTCTGATGTTTTGAAGGTCCGTGTTTGCTCTGCTCCTATTTTGTATTGTTTAGTGGACTTTTGAGCTTGAATACTGTTCGTTCTCTCTATATATTTCACTTTACACATTCATTCCTATATATTTACATTTCCAAAGGTTTTTCCTTATGATTCTTTGCAAATTAGAAGACTGTTCATTTTCTCATGAACTACCATGGACGAGCATGAATATCTCCATTGTTACGTCATAATACCGTACTTGACGTCAAAACTATAGTGCAAACTGTTTTGCTTAAAAAATGACAGTTGAATGGTGTAATTTGATGTAATTCATCAGAAAATAATGTAAATATAAAAAATGAACTTATTTTTTTAAGATTCATGAGGTACATGAACTACAACGCTTCACGCCGGCATATTTATCATGAAGCGCTAACGCGCTTCATGAAATATGCCGGCGTGAAGCGTCGTAGTTCATGTCCTCATGAATCTTCAAAAATTAAATTCATTTCTTAAATAAAGTCAGGAATCTACACCAGCTCCAAACCAAACGTTAATGACAATCAACATTAGTATCAAAATAAGTCTTACTGACTATTCAACCAACATACCAAGTTGACAACTATAAAAAAAAATAAAAAGGAAAATTGCGGATTGGAGAGAAAATTGCGGATGGAAGAATGACAGAAAGACATAGTGAATACAAAACGGCATCCGCAAATCCTTGCGGAGCCGTAATGTTTTTTTAAACATATAATTGTATATCCAGAGTAGTCGTTCTCGCCACGCTCCAACATGCATCTCTGTCAACGCTTGGAAAGTTTGTAAATGGTGAAAAAAATTATATTAGAAATAGTTATTCATCATATTATTTATCAGAATTTTTTTTCTCTTTCATCCCCTTTAAGGATTTTTTCTCAAAGTTTTTATTTTTTAATCTGCAAAATAGGCCTAACTGAAAAGAAATGATAGTTTTAAAATAAATGATAAAATATCTTTATTGATTATTACATTTAGTACGATTTGAACTTTAAAATTTCTCCCTTTAAATCTTGTACAATGAGCATTGACAGATGTGTTGGGAGCTTAGCGGAAGCCAGAAAGACTCTTTCGAAGAAACGTGAAACTATACATACTATTCATACTCAAACTTAACTTTGGGGAGATAAATCCTTAGGCAATGTTAAAAATGAATACCCTTTTTCAATTGTACAAAGATTTATTAAACGCGGGTCGTTTTTGGTTGTTGCAATAATTACTTTTTGCGAATTCTATCCAATGTGTATTTTATATAATGTATATCTGATCCTCTGATTATTATGTTTCATTTGACCCATATGTGGGAAAGGGCTTATCAAGTTTTTAGAACTTTTGCGTCAAAACTCTTCTCGTCGACTGGAAAATTCGTCTCACGCATGAAGTGGTAATTAATAATCTATGGCGGAATATGTTCTTGGATTTTGATTGGCTAAAAATCTGTTTCTAAAATACATCGGAAAAATCTAAGGGTAATTAACGTTTTTATGGGAAATAGGACATAAACAAATTTTATTTATTCAATGCAATATTTAAACATTTTAATTGAATTTTTAAACCCACTATAATTTTTAAATTTTGCTCTAAGATTAGTGCTTCAAATTGCCTTCAAATTTAACTATTACTTACAGACAAGTACAGTAAAAGCAATATAAAAGTGAAACGTAGATGTACATTCATTCGTTATATTGTTAGGAGGTTAATTTATTTATTACAGCAGTGAAAGCAGATGGACTGATTCAGGGAAAATACGTACAACAACAGGTGAAACACTACTGTATTCTATAGTCAAGAAGATGGACAACATCATGAAGGTGTTGCAGTTATTCCCAAAAAGGGGGTTGAGAAGTCTTTAATGGAGTGGAAGCCAATCATCAGTAGATTGTTAACAGTACGGCATAGAGGAAAGCAAGTCAACATGACACTATTCCAATGCTATGCACCCACTAACGATGCAGATGAAGAACATAGAATGCTTTCTATGAATAACTACAGCAAGAACTAGACAACACACCAGACCATGATATTAAAATCATCATGGGTGATATGACTGCAAAAGTTGGAGCAGATAATGAACTATACAACAAGGCAATGGGAGAACATGGTTGTGGAATCATAAATGAAAATGGAGAGGGACTTGCAGAGTTTTGTACCACCAACAACTATGTAATTGGAGGAACACTATTCCCCCACCAAAACATTCATAAGTGAACCTGGCACTCTCCAAACATGAAAGACAAAAATAAAATTGACCACATCATGATAAATGGAAAATGGAGACGATCATTAATGGATGTGAGGGTGAAGAGAGGTGCCGATGTTGATAGCGATCACCACCTGGTAACAGCAACTATCAAACTACAAATGCGTAGCACAGAGGGAAAGAACATGGCCAGAAATAAATTTGATGTTGATAAACTTTAAAACATCAAGATAAGGCATCAATTCAACATCATGCTCAGGAATAAGTTTGATATATTACAAAATTTGGAACTAGAGGACAACATACTTGTAACATCAATCGACAAAAAGTGGGGGAAAATTAGCATCTACACTGAAACTAGTGAGAAATGTATTCGTTATAGGCAAAACATAGGAGTAAAGACTAGATAATGCCTAGAACATGGATAATGATTGGCTCAAGAAGAGATGCCAAAAAGAAAGTGAATGAGGCCAAATCTTTGAGACTCAAAGAGAGACATCAAAGGGAATACAGTGAAATAGAGAAGGAAGTGAAAAAGGCTCTACGCGCAGACAAGAGAGCACACATAGATGACCTAGCAACAAAAGCAGAAGAGGCAGCCAACAGAGGAGAGCAAGGAAACCTTTACAAAATAACAAGGGCACTGAGTGGCAGGAATAGACCATCTCCAAA